TGCTCCAGTCCCCTGATCATCTTCGTGGCCTCCTCTGGACTTGTTCCAACAGATCCATGTTCTTTTTATGTTGAGGACACCAGAACTGCACACAATACTCCAAGTGAGGTCTCACGAGAGCAGAGTAAAGGGGCAGGATCACCTCCTTCCACCTGCTGGTCACGTTCCTTTTGATGCAGCCCAGGATACGGTTGGCTTTCTGGGCTGCAAGCGCACACTGAAGCCGGCTCATGCTCATTTTCTCATCGACCAGTACCCCCAAGTCCTTCTCTGTAGGGCTGCTCTGAATCTCTTCTCTGCCCAGCCTGTAGCTGTGCCTGGGATTGCTCCGACCCAGATGTAGGACCTTGCACTTGGCATGGTTAAACTTCATGAGGTTGGCATCAGCCCACCTTCTTTGGTCAGTTTGGGTCAGGTGTTCTGTCTCTGCTTCCTCCCGGCTTCCCCTCCTCCCTTGCAGAGCGTGAGGCTCACAAATTCCTTGGCCAGACCAAAACATCAGTGTTATCAGTGCTGTTCCCGGGCTGAAAGACAAAACACAGCACTGCACCAGCTACCAAGAAGGAGAAAAATGACTGCTACTGCTGAACCGAGGGCACATGGTTTGGACTAGATGACCTTTGACGATCCCTTTCAACCCAAGAATTCTGTGATTCTATTCATCCTGGAGAAGACTTGACTCCTAGCAGACTTTCAATCCTTAAAAGGGGACACTAAAAAGGATGGGAAGACACTTTTTAGTAGGGCCTGTTGTGATAGGATGAGGGGGTCATATTTTAAATGTGTTTAAGAGGTGAGGTGCAGGCTGGATGTGAGGAAGAAATTCTTTACAATGAGGGTGGTAAAACACTGGCATGGGTTGCCCAGAGAGCTGATCATCCCTGGAGGCTTTCAAGGCCAAGCTGAATGTGGTTCTGGGGAGCCTGATCTAGTTCAAGGTGTCCCTGCTCTCTGCAGGGGGATTGGATTAGATGACCTTTGAAGGGCTCTCCCAACCCAAAATGATTCTATGAACTAGCTAGGCATCAAACAGGGTCATGCTTGCACAGTCCCCCCAAGATCTTCTCTAGCTTTACATGCAGATAGCAGTCTGCACCAACAGATGCACTCATAAGATAAAAAGGTAATCCTTGTTGTTGCTTAAGTGATTCCCATATCATCTCACAAACAAGAGGCAGTTTTGAATAGCAATTCCACAAGTGCACAGGTACAGACACACAGAGACATTGCAGCTCACACAGGAGCCCCAGAACCAGGTGGCTTGTCACCCATTACAGGGTAGTTATGGAGCTGTCTGCAGAGCTAAAACTTATTTCAGGGAAAAATCCCTCTTGGTAGTTATTCTTGCTGCTGTCAACCAGCGTTCAATGGACTGGAGGGAGCCACATTCCCTGTGCCCTTGCACGCTTGATACAGCCTTGGGAGGCGAGAGACTGAGGTGCTTCTGCCATAGATGTGGGCAGAAATACACATGTGCAATAGTGGAATTGATCAGTCGCCAGACTTCATTTTCAGGTAGACAATACTTTCATTTACTTTTGTCAAAGTCGAGTCAAAAGCAATGCATACATTCCAAAAGGTTCAGGTTTTGTGAACTGATATAGCAAAATCCACCTAATCTACCTATTTCTAAGTTTATCTTCATGTCCACTGTTACTTTGGCTTCCTTGAGTCAGCATTGGTATTTCAGGATTTCAGTGACTTTCTGAGATAAACATAAAAATTGTTTAAAGTGACTAAATTAAATTTGACTTTAAAAACAGCCTTTAATATTGCTCACATTCCTAAATAAAAACTAGAGGAGCTGACAAGGAGAGGTGCCATGCTTGACCTCATGCTCACTAATGGGGAAGGGCTCATTGGAAATGTGACGCCTTGGGAAGACTGGTTGCAGTGATCATGAGATGGTAGAGTTCAAGAAACTCAGGACAGTGAGAAGAGTGTGCAGCAAGCTCACTGCCCTGGACTTCAAGAGAGCAGACTTTGGCTTCTTCAGGAACCTGCTTAATAGGTTCCATGGGATATAGCCCTAGAGGGCAGGGGGGCCCAAGACTGTTGGATGATATTCAAGGATCACCTACTGCAACCTCAGGACTGTTGCATCCCAACTAGAAGGAAGTGAAGCAGGAGGGCCAGGAGACCTCCTTGGATGGATAAGGAGCTGCTGAGGAAAATTCAAATGAAAAAAGAGTCTTATAAAAAGTGGAAGCAAGGACAGGCGGCCTGGGAAGAATATAGGGATGTTGTCCGGGAAACTAGGGACCACATTAGGTATGTAGCGAATAAAAGACAGACTACGGACAAGGTAGATCCCAACCAGAAGCTATCGGGAGGACTGGCTACACTGGATTTGGAGAAGGCTGAGGTTCTGAATGACTTCTTTGCCTCAGTCTTCACTGGCAAACGCTCTGACCACACCCCCAAAGTCTTGGAAGGCAGACGCAGGGACGGTGAGAATGAAGACCTTGGGCCCACTGTAGGAGAGGATCTGATTTGAGACCATCTTAAAACCTGAACATACAGAAGTCCATGGGACCTGATGAAATCCATCTGTGGGTCCTGAAGGAGCTGGAAAATGAAGTTGCTAAGCCACTGTTCATCATATTCAAAAAATCATGGCAGTCAGGTGAAGTTGCCAACGACTGGAAAAGGAACTATAACCCCCATTTTCAAGAAGGAGAAAATGGATGACCCGGGGAATTACAGACCAGTCAGTCTCACCTCTGTGCCTGGCAAAATCTTGGAGCAGATTCTTCTGGAAGGCATGCTAAGGCACATGAAAAACAACAAGGTGCTTGGTGACAGCCAGCATGGCTTCACTAAGGGGAAATCCTGCCTGACCAATTTGGTGGCCTCCTATGATGGGGCTACAGAACTGATGGACATTGACGGAGTAGTTGACATCATCTACCTGGACTTGTGCAAAGCATTCGACACTGTCCCACACGACATCCTTGTCTCTAAATTGGAGAGACATCAATTTGATGAATGGACCACTCAGTGGATAAAGAACTGGATGGATGCTTGTACGCAAAGAGTTGTAGTCAATAGCTCAATGTCCAGCTGGAGACCAGTAACGAGTGGTGTCCCTCAGGGATTGGTGTTGGGACCAGTCTTGTTCAACATCTTTGTTGGTGACACGGACAGTGGGACAGAGTGCTCCCTCAGCAAGTTTGCTGATCACACCAAGCTGTGTGGTTCAGTTGATACACTGGAGGGAAGGAATGCCATCCAGAGGGACCTCGACATGCTTGTGAGGTGGGATGATGCCAACCTAGTGAAGTTTAACCATGCCAAGTGCAAGGTCGGAGCAATCCCAGGCACAGCTACAGGCTGGGCAGAGAAGAGATTCAGAGCAGCCCTGCAGAGAAGGACTTGGGGGTGCTGGTTGATGAGAAACCTAACACGAGCCGGCTGCAGTGTGCACTCGCAGCCCAGAAAGCCAACCACATCCTGGGCTACATCAAAAAGAATGTGACCAGCAGGTGGAAGGAGGTGATCCTGCCCCTTTACTCTGCTCTCGTGAGACCTCGCTTGGAGTATTGTGTGCAGTTCTGGTGTCCTCAACATAAAAAGGACATGGAACTGTTGGAACAAGTCCAGAGGAGGGCCCTGAGGGTGATCAGGGGACTGGAGCACCTGCCATATGAAGACAGGCTGAGAAAGTTGGGGCTGTTCAGCCTGGAGAAGGCTGCGTGGATACCTCATAGCAGCCTTGCAGTATCTGAAGGGGTCCTATAAGGATGCTGGGGATGGACTATTCATTAGGGACTGTAGTGACAGGACAAAGGGTAACGGGTTAAAACTGCTGTGAATGCTCAATCCCTGGTGGTGTTCAAGGCTGGGTTGGACAGAGCCTTGGGTGACATGGTTTAGTGTGAGGTGTCCCTGCCCATGGCAGAGGGGTTGGAACTAGAAGATCTTAAGGTCCTTTCCAACCCTAACTATTCTATGATTCTGTATTATATTGGAGAAGTAGCTCCAGTATTGGAGAAGAATGCAGTACTACAGGTATTCAGCCTTAGACAATTGAAGGCACATTTCAGTTTCTTCACTATAATTTCCTCTTTATAATAAAATTACAGTCATCTTAACTTCCAAGATTATTAAGACCATATATGTCCATAGAAGAATTAATCTGACCGACACAAAAGCTTGTAAACTGAGCAAATTTGGAACAAAGCTATTTGCTCAGATTCTGCTTATCATACAAGAAGAAATTTTACAGTCCTTTTTTCCTTTAAACATTTTTGATGCAGTCAGGCTGTGATGTATAAGAAACTTCACACCTGATACACCTTGGTCTGATTAAGACAGTTCCATCAACTGTACTTTCCGTAGATGAATATTACTCAGCTGAAAAAAACTCTCTGAAAATAAACCCAGACTGAGAAGAACAAGTAACTCATTTAGCCATAGCTGAATCACAGGATTTCACTTATTGCTTCCTGTGAATCAAATGTTACAGCAAAATTTCTTTAGTTTCTTTTTTTCCTTGTATGATGACTGGGCTACTAATACAGAGCCATTGTTTGTAACAGAAATGTTCCTTTTTGAAGTAAGAAACAACAGACAACTTTGGATTAAGTAGGTTTGCCTACAAAGCTGGCACTAAAGGAGAAACAAATTTACAGCCTCATGCAGAGCATGAGTTACAGTGTGAATCTTAAACCAAGATCATAATTTTACAGTCTGGAAACACCAGCTGTTAGTTTCTAGTTCTAATTACAATCATACAATACTCTTTCACAGCCATATCCCTGGTCTCTTACCTAACTCTGCCAGTAGAATTCCACCTTATGTGCTCAAACTTTGCAAATAGCAAGTGTGACACACTTCTGAGCAGCCCCAGCAACATGCAGGAAAGACTGACACTAACAGAAATGCAGAATCCAGAGCAAAATGCAGAGCAATTTGTTCAAGCACATATTTAACTTTTTGCTAAGGAATACGTATTTAAAAATACACATTTTAAACAAATACACACAATGACAAGTTAATAATTATAGTCTACACTTTATTGAACCAGATAGATAAAAAACTAATAAGGGGACAGGTGTCTACTTTCTAAACAGCAGCGGCAGCTTAAGTCATTGTTCCCTCAGTTGCTTTTATGTTACTGAAACTTTCCAGCTCCCACCTCTGCTGGCTCATGCTGAATGCTCACCGACCCAGTTTAGAAAAAATCCATACAGTCCGCTTACACAGTCGAACTAGTCCAGCTGATTTGTTCTGAAGCAGATAAGGAAGCACTGACATGATTTCAAGTGACAGAGTTGTGGGTACAGTGACATTTGGCAAACAAACAGATGAGCAGGTAGAGATAGTGAAACGATTCTAGGAAGTCTAGAAACAAAAAAGCATGTTCTGGACTTACCCTGGGCATCTAAAACATACCATTTGTTCAAAACCCAAGCAAACTCAAAAGTTCTTCTAATACAGTTAAACGATAAAACAGGTGCTTCTATAGTAACTTCTCTTAAAAGATTTTGCAATTAAAAACCAGTTTATTTTTCATATATGGTTTGACACTGATTAATTTCTGAGAAATCTGGCTGTCATCATAAATTATTTTCCTGATATTTTATTATAATAAGATTTCTACAGTTAAGAAATTCATCTTGAACAGAAAAAAAACTAATCAAAGTATTCTAAACACTTGCACTTTACAGCTCCCTCCTTCCACATACGCACTCACAAAATACTGCTTATTCAGAATATAAAATAATTTTAAAGAGATAGGTATATAATACAAAAACCAGGATCTTGCATATTTGCACATAATTCATATTGTTATTGCACCATCAGACCTTTTATTCAGAGTAAATTTATCACTACTGACCAGTAAGAATTTCACAGTTGTGACAAAAATTGAAGTTCTCAGTCTCTCTGGAAAGGGTAAGGATTAAACAGCATCTGTCTCACTAGCCTGAACACATCCTTCTTCTATCAACAGGTTTATTGACAATTTTTAAATAAGTCAAGACATCCTGCATCTCATCACAATGAATGCTTCAGGGCTGGCCCATCAACTCTTACTGAAGACATTTTCAATGACAACAATGAAAGCCAGATAGTGCTCTAAGTTTTTGCTCTTTTCCTTTGAAACTGCAAGATCAAGCTATTTTTGTATCTACTGAGAAGACACGACATTCATAGGCTGAAATCAAGCAACTCAGGTCATCTTTGTTACCACACAGATCATACCTCAATTAAATTTGGTGTTGAATTGTCCAAGGAAGCATCTATCTGAGCTACTATGGCTACCATGGCCAATACAACCAACAGAGAAGATGGCAGGTAGGTGTGGGAAGAGGGCCTTCAGTAAGCACAGCATGGTACCCTAGCTAATGATTCCTACTTTCCACAGAGCTTGCCCTACAGTCTTGCTTAATGGCAGCTCTACTCTCACTGTTCTGTTTAACAGCGGAGAGAATTCATGAGGCTGTGCTAGCAAATTTTGATTCTCAGGAACAGCTGGAAAAAACCCTCAATATTATTCTCAAAAAAACCCCACACAAACAAATAAAATTACCTCAGCTGAAGCTCTTTCTACCTCAGTCATCATGTTTACATAGGCATGCAATGACTCCAAAGTGATTGGCACCTCAGTCCAGCCTACCATCAATGCTAAATTAATTTGCAGGATAAAACATTATGAAATACTTCATATAGAATATGCTGCTACACAGTCATTTAAAAAACATTTCAATTGTACGCTTGGAATTGCTTGATTTGGCCTTTTTTGATGCTGACTGTGAAGTTGTTAGTCCAGACCTACAAAAAAGAAAAAAACAAACAAACAAAAACCTGGTAAGATATTCAAATATACAATGCAAGTCTACACAATTTTTACAACACTGGATTTCAAAACTTTATTATTTTAAAATCACTTGTGTACTCAAGTTTCCAGAAAAACCTTACCTTTTTGTTCCTTGTGATGTATTCGTGCATTGCTGACCTCTGCTTAAAGCTCCTGAAAAGTAATTGGAAACCACCAAAATTATTTAATTCAGTAATGAAATGACACTTCAGAAATGACACACATGGCAGAACTTTAAAAAAAAGGTTTTGGTAAACTTTCTTTTTTTACATAACCTAATTTGATCTATCTGAGGGAGCAAATAACATATCTGCAGTTAGAGAAGTGTAGTTTATATTAACATTATTAAGAGAGAAAAACAAAAGCCTTTAATTTATTGAATCCTAAGGGATTGATTTGAATCTTCTTGTGGTTTTCTAGAAGTATTTTAGCATAATGTAGTTGATTTTCAAGGTGGTTGCTGAAAACTGTTTTGTTATTTTTTTTTATCCTGCAGGAAGGAAATAATCTTTGCCAATAGCAAGTTTTTTCATTTAAAACAAAGCCTGTTTGCACAACAAATAATACTTCTTGTAAAGTTTTTTTTGTGTAAAAGATTCATATTGTAAGTCTTAGTTGTGTTCTGAATATTCTAACACTAACATTTTAATTTCCTCTTATAAAGCTCCAAATTTAGATTAGTGACAAGGTACTTTATGTAGATACTTAACTACATGCACATATCCTCTAACATGGCCAAAGATTAACTCTTCATCAAACAGAGAAACTACTTGAGTCATACTGCTGGTCTGGCATGTTACAGGTGGAGTTATGTGATACACTTTATCAGATGTAAAACAGACTTGCAGTTCCTGCCTTTATGCTGTATCTCACCACCTCTCTGTATTTGCCAGCATGTTATATAATAGAACTTTCTGTCAACTGCATCTTTGCAACAATCCAGGTTGAAGATGCTTTCACTAGTTTTCATCTAAATTCCAGTGGCCTTACAAACACCCTTCTGAACATGGTTGGGGAGTAGCAAACATGCAATTCACATTGTAGCAAATGAGAATGCACTGTGTGACTAACATTGCATTAATAAATTTAGTCTGTAATGAAAACTAGTTTGATATAAAAAATGCAAACTCTTACATAGCCTTTACTCAAATTAATTTGTTGGAAAAATCTCAAAGCCCTTTTTGAAAAGTTCAAGGTATAGCATTACCATATTATTTTAATTGTACAAGCAGATAAACTGAATAATCCAATATATCTTAGTGAGCACACTCACCAACTCTGTTTGAGTTTTCCATATTAGAAGTCTTTGTAGGAAAATCTTTTTTTTCTGTCAGTTCCTGGATAAGGCCTTTATTTAAGCAGACGTCCACATGTCTGTTAAATGACACAAGACTTGTTGTTTTCTGTTCTGAATTGCAAACCGGACAAACAAGTACACTGTCTTCTTTGCTTTCAAAGAAACAGGATGAACTATTTTCTTCTGTATGTTCAGTCTTTTCAAAATGGTCTTGACTGTCTTGTGAAATTCTTTTGGGGAGGAGACACTGTTTCATACACATGTTTCTAGCAATATCACTGAGATTGCTAGGCTGTCTTTCTCTGTGAGGTTTATCAGATGTCATTTGAGTGAATTTTTCTGTGCTATTGCTAACAGAGTTCCCAGATGTACTTGCAGACTGGTCTGCTCCAGCTAGTTGATCTGGTTTATTTTTCTGACATTCATCAACATTTTCATTTTTATACTGTGGAAGAAAGTTACATGTATTTTCTCCTGAATCATAATTCTTGTTTATTTCCATGGTATCTTTAACAAGAGTCCAACCGAGGCACAAATCAATATGCCTGTTAAGCTCTTCCAAACTATTGCTGCTTTGATCCTCAAAGCAAACAGGGCAGGTGAAGATCTTACGTACATCACTAGAATCCTGCAAGTCTGTGACTTTCTTTGTTTCTTCTACAAAATTTGCTGATGATTTCCTATCATGAAACAGCTGCTTACCTACAGATTTATTTAGAGAAGGATTCTCACCATTCAGCTGTCTTGCAGCTCGCTTTTTATCAAAAAAACTCCCTGTGGTAGATGCTTCTGATTTGTTTCTGAAATAGTCTTTGTTGGACTTCCCTGGCTGAAGTCTAAGAACACCGATTTCTTTTCCTGATTTTAAGAAACTTGTAATGCTTTTCTGTTGGTATTTCCTCTCTTCTTCACTCAGAAATCCTGATACTCGTACACCTAATGAAGAAAACAAAATTTATGACATCAATTTTATGAAAACATAATACTAGTTCTAATTAAAACCTTTTCAGGTTGTCCTGGTATGCATACACTCAATAAAAATGAATTTTACCTCCAAACAGAGGCTATACTACCTGCAAATACTAACAACAGATCACAATACAATTTTATCAGACCCTGAACACTTGCCCAACCATATACTGATTTCAATATCCATGAAGTTTTAACTGATTGAATCATAACATTAAGACAGAACCTTAACATACATAATTCAGGATAAAAGAGTTTTGCGTTAAGTTTCCCTACCAATATTTTTTTCTTAAGCATATTCTAATATAACCGACAAATAATTTTCATGTATCACTGACAAGTTCAAGCAGAATTTATCAGCACGTGAAACAACGGGTCTCAGAATCAAGACACAAGTCTATTTTGCAGAGACGTTCAATTTTATTGCAGAACATAGCATTTGCAAATCTATAAGCACTTCTATTTAAAACATTTGTTTCTAAAACAGGTTATGAAAGGGAACTATGTGGTGCTGTGGTGCAAAGCAGATTTAAAAGTTCTTTCAAGACAGCAGAATTAAGCACTGCTATGCATTAAGATCCTACTTTTGTACCAGTGTGTGTTGTTCCAGGGCTAACAGGTGGTAAGGAAAGTAAAACGTCGATTAGTAAAACATTTCTCAGCCAGGACCATTCAGGACTCCACAACTGATTCTACTTTGCAAGAAAGAATGAAGCAGTGTGCACTCGCAGTGAAGAAAGGCAACTATATCCTGGGCTGCATCAGAAGCAGCATGGTCAGCAGGCTGGAGGACTTGATTCTGCTCCTCTGCCCTGCTCTCATGAGACCCCACTTGGAGTACTGTGTGCAGTTTTAGTGTTCCCAACATAAAAAGAACATAGACCTGTTGGGCAAATTCACACAAGGCCACAAGGATGATAAAGGGGCTAGCACAGCTCCCATAAGAAGACAGGCTGAGAAAGCTGGGGCTGTTCAGTCTGGAGAAGAGAAGGCTGCATGGAGACCTCACAGCAGCCTTCCAAAATCTGAAGGGGGCCTACAAGGATGCCACTCTTCATCAGGGGCTGCAGTGATAGGTCAAGGGGTAATGGGCTCAAACAAGGGAAGTTCAGGTTAGATATAAGGAAGAAGTACTTTACTGTGAGAGTGGTGAGACACTGGAACAGGCTCCCCAAGGAACTTACGAATGCTCCATCCCTGGAAGTGTTCAAGAACAGAGCCTTGAGCAACCTGGTCTAGTGGAGGGTATCCCTGCCCATGGGCAGTTGGGTTGGAACTAGATGATCTTAAGGTCCTTTCCAACCCTAACCATTCTGTAATTCCATGAAACCATTTATACCATTACTTTAGACTACAGTCTATTATTTTTATGCATTATAAGAGCTAACTCTGAAAAGGAAGAATAACTTTGAAATATTTTACCCATAAGTCGTATCCGTAAAGGGTGAGGAGCAACACTATCAATTTCTGTTCCTAACAAGTCTTTAGCAACAGCAAATATTTCCTCCTCAGTAGAAACAGAAGATAGCACACTTGAAGCTCTTGTTTTAACTTCAAAGCTCACATTCTTTAGTTTCAAGGTAACAGTTTTACCCTGGGATGATGGGGGTGGGAGAGGAGAGAAAAAGGGGAAAGAGAGAAAAGAAAAAGGTTAAGCGTGTCAAATACAGCACAGAAAAAAAATATTACATAGCATCTATATAGCCCTAAAGCTATAGTCAAGACAGTGTACCTGTGTACAGCAAGGGGCACTGCCAAGAATTTGTCTGCAAGCTTATGTGCTTGCTCCTAAACTGCTGCCAAAGTTGAATTCTCTGAACTGGGTCATTTGGCTATGGCTCCCAACAGACCATCTGCCACCAGTGCCTGTTCAATAGGTTTCATGCTCTGGCTACAGTCACAACTTCTCACCTGTCTACAAAACAATTATTTTCTTAACTTTCAGTGCCAGATATCTTAACTTTGCAGGGAAAATTACCAAATTACAAGAGATATCCAGTTGAGGATTCACTGAAGAGTTCCTTCCTCTTGCATTGTGCTATCAGAGCCGCACAGCATCTGTCTGGCACAGATATCCCCCTGGTCACACCTTCTAAACCATTTGTGCGATTTAGTGTGTCCCTCCAAATTGTAAACAAATGGCACTCCTTTTGTTCTGGTGCTGTTGTAAGCTTATCTCTTCATCTTTCTTAGCTGATGATTTCTTTTCAACCTATCATCTTTTGAGACAATCTTTTATGATTGAGGAAGACTAATCACAATTCCCTTAGGTCTTGAATGTCAATACCTGCTTTACCATAAAGACATCCATAGAAAATATGAACTGTTCTTTCCATATGAAAGACAGAAATTTGGTGAGAAAGAATACGGGGACTGCTCCCATCATTCATACCACTGAATGGGATGAATAACTTGTAAGCAAGCCTGGGACATGTGTACTTCTTAAAATACACTACTGGCTATTGACTGGATCCTGTATGAATATGAGAGAAACACAAGTGTTTGAACACATTAGTATCACATGATTGAACAAAGCATAGCTCACAGTGAGTTCCACTACTTGTTTATAAACATTACTTTAAGCATAAAATGCTTGCATGCTAAATAACTTGGTCAATTAGTTTATTTTTTTCCCACACATTATTACCTGAACAATATTAAAATGCTGCCTAAATCATTCAAAGCATCTGCAAACTAAAAAATCAGACATTGTATGGTAAGATGCTGCTGAAAGCACTCACGTTAATATACTAAAATAACATAACACGCTAACATAATTAAAATATTTAGTAAGTTTTAGTGCAAAGTGCTGTCACTTTGCAAGCAACAGAGAATAATATAAATACCTTAAGTCCCTCTTTCTGTAGGTCTTGAGCAAGGTCTCTGCAGAGTTCTCGACACATGCTGTACTGGTCTTCTGCTGTGTTCATTTCACTGAATGTTCTAAGACAAAGATACGATGTTTTTTCAGTATGAATCCTAAAAATTGCTCAGTGGCTGCCATCTAAAATTTTCTTGTACAGTTACACAAACCTGGATTAGTAAGTTATATAGGTTTGAGTGCTCACTTCAAGGAAAAAAGAATATTAATAGCCAAAATATACGGAAAGATTTGTGCGCATTTATACATTTCAAAATGTTTGCTAAGGCTTTCAAGTAACAAAATAATTTGGCTTTCAAATTTTCATGCACTATTTGAAAATGTATCAGATTTAAGGTCATTAATGCTTTAATATTTGCAAGAGAACACTAACACCAACCAAACTCATGAAGCCAGCTAAATAACTGGTATTTAATCTCCTTTGTACAGTGCTGTGTAGTATCAAAAGAAAGAAAGGATTGGAAAGTCAACATTAGAGCCATGTATCATAAATAAATAATGCAGATGCTAAGAAAAAAAAAAGTCAGCTAGTATAATTATGTCTAGCTTCAGAGGAAGAAAAACTATCTTTCTGCCAAAAATGCTGCTAACTGCTACCAGCAGAATTACAGTATTATTTTTCTGTTGTTGTGCATCTGCTTTTTAGTAATAACGTGACAGGAAAGGCAGCCTTCAGTTAGCAGTGGTTTTAAGAGAAGCAGGAAGTAAAACTTACTGCAACTAGATGCTTTTGGAAAGGTCTCACAGATCCATTATTTCATGCCAAGCTTTGTATTAACAAGTGTAGTCACTACAGTCATACTGCATTATACATCTCTAAGTTATATTCAGATTTACCAGATCATATTAAAAAGTCATCCACTGTTATGATTCCCATTTCCCTAAGAATGTTTGCATGCTACTGAATTATTGGGACGAATATTGTGCTGTGGGTTCCATGCCATTATTCAAGGAGTAATTTATGCTGTCCTGGCAATGCTGCAGTTACAACATTACAATACTGCAGCAACTGGGAAGTTGTAAATCCTGGGTTTGAAAGGGGCAGGATAGAGACAATGCCATTTCAGGCCCATCTCTTCCCCCCCATATAAACAAGTTTCATGATCTCACCCTCCCACTGACATCTCTGATCTAAAACTGTTTCCTTCAGGGAAAAAGGAAGTAAGAAAAGCTAAGGTACAAGAGACTACCCAGATTATCTGTCTGCCTGCAAACCAGCCCAAGACTACAGCCATAAAAACCTCAGCTTTGGTCATACAAAATCTTATGGGGCTTCCATAAGATGCCCACAACTACCAAGTCTGTAGGAATAAAAATCTTTTCTAAGATGATGCAACACATGAGGGTAGAGATAATTATTACGATGCTCTACAGATTCTCCTTGCAGTATTTATTTTTTAAAAATGAACTTTTGAGAATGACATACACCACCTTAAGGAACTTAACACTGGTAAAAACATTACAGTTAGAAAATAAAGCCAATATATATTTAACCATGAAAAATTATTGTCTGCTTTACAAGTCTATCTTATGTTATACTTGCTATGCATGGGACTGAAGGCTAATAGGCTGAGACTGACATTAAACTGGAACATATAAAAAAAAAAAATTCAATCTTTTAAATATTTTCACCCTGTATTGTGGCTTAAAGACCACATTGATGAATTAAAGGTATTAGGAGGATCACATGATGAGGGAGAGAACACACAAACTGCCAGAACAACTGCACAGTATTTTGAAGCCAACGGGAAAAAAAGAAAAAGAAAAGGGCAAGCGTGAATCTGTTTTAGTACACTAGTGGTTTTTTTAACATGTTACACAATGAAATTATATTTACTGTATACTCTATCTGGTATTATATAGGATTAGTGATTACTGTTTTTTCAATATTAAAGAGGCATACCTTTCAGTGCTCATACTTTTTCTTTCTCCATCCCTTTAAAAACAAAAACAATTTATTATACTCACTTTACCTTTAACTGTTACAATTCCAATAAACTCTAATTCAACCAACCATGATTCAATAACTAACAGCAGTATCTCTAAGATCTGGATACTAACTTCTATAAATCTTCTATATAAAATCTAAATGAGTATGAAATTGAAAAAGTTTCTTTACAAAAACCTTATACTGTAGATGAAAAGTAAAGACACAGATCAGGCAGAGATGTCAACAGTCTGTAAAAGGAAAAAAAAACCCCAAACCAAACCATCAACAAAACCCTGAAAACTCTTCTGATATCAGAAGGAGTCTTACTTAAAAAAAATGAATCCTATGCTGTGTCACCTATGACTATTAAGCACTGTATACTTGAATATTTATCTGAGGAACTGATTTGCTTTATGTGTAAATTATTGCCTATGTTAAATGATGATGTGTTAAGGCTTTTTTTCTTTGTTTCTTTCTTTCCATTTTTAATTGAGACCCCCTTTAACAACTTTTCTGCATGTAAAGAGTTTGCCAGTACATTTCTTTCTTCTGTTTGTAAATATTGGAAATAACAAGTTTGGTATTCTCAGGTTTTCCTAAAAGAAGGTACTCAAAGACAATGAACCTTTATATGAACCATTTACTGAGGACCCGTGTGGGTACATTAAAGGCTTGCTTTCTCCACATTAAAAATCACTGAAATCAAGTTTGTGCTCGTAAAACAAAGAAATGAATTTCTCAGACAACACCATTAAAAATGTGTTCCCCTTCACAATGATAATGCTGGGTTTTAAAATACTGGTGGGGTTTATTTGCTCCTTCTTGAACATTTGTGTGTGGTTGGTCCTACTGATCATTCTTCATGTGCCCTCTTTTCAGGATACACAGACTGCTTGGCCTGTTTTCCTGCTGCTGCTTTCCATGGCTCTGTGGCTTTTCTTTCCCAGACTGCAAGGGATGTTTTTTCAAGCTAAGCTGAAGAACGCATCAACCTGCTTCTGGCTACACATGTGCATCTTGTTGATGCTTCTGAGCTCTGAAACAGAGTAAAGAAAGCAACCAGCCCAAAACAAAACAAAACAAAAACAAAAAAACAAACCCAAAACCAACAACAAACCAACCCCTGTAAAATAAAATAACATAAAGTAATATAAAATAACATAAAAGTAACATAAAATGACATAAAATTAAAAGTAACAAAACCTAAATCAAATGGAATCATAATATGAAATCCTGTTTTCATTTGTAAGCCTTGTGATTTTTGTCCTTGAAAGTGGTTTGGGAATTGAAACCCCCTGGCACCGCAGCGAAGTAACAGTCTCTCCGTTATTCACCTCAGGGTGAGAATAGGGAATAGAATGGAATGGAGAGGCATGGAATGGCATAGAGTGGAATGGGGTGGAATGAAATGGAATGGACTGGAACAGAATGGACTGCACTAGACTAGAATAGAAATGGAATAGGTTACACTATGTTACACCTACAACTCTGCATGACAAGTGATGACATAGGTCTAAGGTGTCCACCCACAAAGGTGAATGGCTTCACGCTGACAGAAGGCAGATCTAGAACTAAGAAATTCTTCCCTGTGAAGGTGGTGAGACACTGGCACAGGCTGCCCACAGAAGCTGCTGCTGCCCCATCCCTGGCAGTGTTCAAGGCCAGACTGGAAGGGCTTGGAGCAACCTAGTCTAGTGGAAGGTGTCCCTGCCTGTGGCAGAGGAGTTGGAACTACATGATCTCCAAGGTCCCTTTCAACCCAAACCACTCTATGATTCTATGAAACATGGTAGGAGACACAGAAACTCACTTATTTTAACTAGAAATATGAAAATTTACCACCAAAGATCAGGTACCAATGCCTTTTTCATTACAACAGATCATAATCAATGAATGTATATTGGTTTTTATAGAAGAAACAGGACTGAATGCCTCTGCTTAGGATATCACATTTCTCTCTAGCTATTTTAATAATTATGAGGTTATCCTAGATGACACTGACTTTACTTCTTAATATATATTTGTGCACAACTTCTCTGACAGACTTTTTGCATTTTGTGTATTTGACATGGCTATACAAGCTTCTGATTTTTAATATCTGGCCATTGTGTACATTTTAGCACAAGTATAACAGTAACAGGTAAAGCTTTTAAAATATTAAGAAAGCCAAATTTTAGTATTTGCCAATAAAATCTCTTAAAAATATACAGTATGTAACATACCCAAGGAAAAATTTGTAAAATTAGAAACAGAAGGGGGAAAAAAATTACCAAAACAAAACATACTTTTCCAAATGTGTAGAACCCAAACCAAGGGAAATATCCAAGAAATTACGCCAAGATGCTTCTGAAAAAAGAAGTGAAAGCAGTGCCCTCTGCTGGTAAAGTTCTGAGCAAGTCACAATTCCAAGGGCTTTTAACATCTTCTCTGTTACTTTTCCAATACCTGGCACCTGGAAAAGAGGAAGTTCATTATGCTGGAAACTTTCCATTTGCAGATTTAATATCAATAGCAATTTAAATTAAACGCAACTGGACAGACTATGTAGAAAAGTCCCTTTCTTCAGTAATAATCTTGCTTTTAGAACATAAACATGATTGCATTGCAAATGTCATGGTATCTCTTACCTTTCTAATGGGTAAATCTTTTAGGAAGTCTAGAATTGCTTGTCTCTCAGGGACAATTCTGCACTGCCCATTGGGTTTATTACAATCACTGCACATTTTTGCTAACAGGGTATTCGGTGCTATTCCTTAAAAAAAAAAAAACCAAACAAAACCTGTATTTATAAAAAATGGAAGACAATGTTTAATTTCAACTGTCCAATGCTTAAAAGCACAAAAGTACCCTACATATTTGGCAAAGACAAAACATAAGCAGAAGAATGACAACAGCTGCTAACCAGATGTGCTACAAATCTGCAAAAAAAATTTGTAATAGACGTGAGAACATAAATGCATGTAGTAGATCAAATGTAATGGATAAAGTGTACCTACTATTTTAAGACAGAGTAACACAACATGCACTACTCAGTCATGAGAGGTTAAATATCATGTGTTTAAAAATAACATCAGTTACATTATTGAACAATTTTATGACGGTGATCATGATAAGACAAAAGGAAATAAAACGGTAGCTATAATGACCTCTTAATGAGGAGATATTTCTCCCTTGTATTTCAGCAAAAAGACTAAATTAATTTTGACAAAATTTACCAAATTCAAGTCTTTTGTGGGCTACCGTATTCAAAATAGTTTAAGTAATTCTATTTATTACTGATTACTAGTATTTCTTCAAGTAGCTTTCTCATTGTTTTTCATTTTGGGGAAAAAAAACACCTGATGCACTTATAAAAAATATGCCTGTTTTGTAAACATTAACTTATTCTTCGGAAGACAAAATTTCAGTAGACCAAAATTATTATTTTGCTACTAATCATGGGGAGGGCTGTCTCATCCCATACATGGGAGGGTCTTCGCATCCTGCTTATTAGCTGTTCCTTTATGTCTGCTTAACATTCAGCACTTCCTTGTTTTCCACATCTTTTTCATAAAGCTCAGCACTCCCTGACACCTCACTGACCTGGTACACAGAACAGATTAGACGGCATCCAAACTAAGTGGCTGGGGACACACACATTAGTGACCTAATCCAGATTAATTTTAAAATGACAGAAATTTACAGGCAGATTCCATGAAGTCAAAAGACATAAAACCTGAATGCTAAATATTTAAAAGCTACTGAATAAGGTATTAACTTAAACATGTTTTGCTTCTATGAGAACTTTTAAATGAACTTTGATATTGCCTTAAACGAGGAACAAATGTAGAGTTCGAAGTACTTAACAATATGGATCTGCTATGCAAACTAACAGCAAACAGCAACCAGTGACAGATTTGACTTGACCACTGGCTTTCAAAAACAATTTACACAGGGCACTAAAATAACAACTACCAGTGCTAAACTTAGCTCCTGAGCACACTGGTCATTGTTCCACACTACGTGTATTTCAAGAAGAAAGAAGCAAAAAGGTGACAAGCTACTTCCATGACTAAAAAAACACCCAAACTAACACAAAAACCAACCAAAGAGAACAAACAAAAACCAGAAGTGACATGAACACCCCTGACATCTCCTGAAACACATGAAACTCACAGTCTTTGCAGTCTTGGCAGAGTGCATATTTCTTTGCAGCACAATGCTGTGGCAATGCTGATTTCGTAAGTAATGCTCTCTGAGATTAGAGCAGCAGATATTGTGGAAATACAAAACATTATTATTATTCATGTGTGTTTGAATACCTGCACTGGCAGTCAGCTGAGTTTTCTGCTCAATCCTAAAGCGAATTTCCTTCACAACTTCCTCTGCAGAAGTTCCAAAGACAACTGAATTTTCCACCAATTGATCACTTTGCTCAGGATGGTCATTAATCAGAGGTGTGCTGTCTTCAAACAATACCGGTGAAGAAGAGCATCCACTTTCATTAAATTTGGCAGACATATTTATATCATTTTTATCTATGTTAGGCAGAAACAGAAATAATTAATTCATCTGTAGAAAACACATACTTTATCGATTTCCTTCTGCACTGGCTGAAAAGAGTTCATTAGCAGGTGGTTTTTTCTGTTTGGAAAAAAAAAAATAGCCAAAGCAATTGCATTGTTTGCTTTTCTGGGTTTTTGTTTGCTTGTTTGAGAAAGGCGTCATAACTGCTTTGTTCTTAATGTGATTTGAGCTTGGCTGACATTGGAAGAATTCACTAGGAGAGTAGATATAACTTCCAGAAAAGCAACAACGTTTACTGGCCTGTTGCTCTAGCAGCAGAAAAACATCAAGATTTTGGCATTATTTTTGTTTCCTATCAGAATGAAAGCCAGATGCTCCTTTTTTTTTTTTTGGTGGAAATAAAGATCCTTTGCAGCAGTTTTTTCAATATTCTCCAAAGAAAATCAGGGTTCTGGAATATCTGGTTTTAGAACTACCAAGCTGGTGAGCTTCTTATTTTCAACTACAGTCATGATAAAACAAATAATATCAGCAGCCCTTCGTCTGACTCCACAAACATTACTATTATATTTTCACATTCTGAGTGCTCAGTTGTGTTTTGGAAGGATGAAGATGATTGAGAAGTATGAAAGGCACATGACTACACTTAAGTGATATTTTGTAAAGACTATGCTTGTTCTTTTCTATTCTATTCTATTAATACTTTCCAGTCATAATGAATCCCTGATTATCCTCTTACTATTTAGATAATTTTTAATAGTTAAAATATAAATGTTCTGATTTGTGCATCTGTCAACCATTTGTATGATTCCTTGTTTTTTTTTAATATTCCTGATTGTGTATACAGTTGTGGATGTGGTTCCAACTCAGTCTTCTAAAGCCAAACGAAATTCAGTCATATCTCAAGAATTACCACAACTTCTGCAGTGCTCATTACTTTATACATTTTTATTCTTGTAAAACAATCATGAGTTGTGATCAATGGCTCAGTGTCCAGCTGGAGACCAGTAATGACTGGTGTCCATCAGGGATTGGTGTTGGGACCGACCTTGTTCAACATCTTTGCCAGTGACATGCACAGTGGGATTGAGTGCGCCCTCAGCAAGTCTGCTGATCACACCAAGCTGTGTGGTTTGGCTGATACGCTGGAGGGATGGGATTCCATACAGAAGGACCCTGACACGCTTCTGAGGTGGGCTGATGCCAGCCTCATGAAGTTTAACCATGCCAAGTGCAAGCTCCTACACCTGGGTCGGAGAAATCCCAGGCACAGCTACAGGTTGGGCAGAGAAGAGATTCAGAGCAGCCCTGCAGAGAAGGACTTGGGGGTGCTGGTCGATGAGAAAATGAACATGAGCCAGCTGCAGTGTGCGCTTGCAGCCCAGAAAGCCAACCGTATCCTGGGCTGCATCAAAAGGAGCGTGACCAGCAGGTCAAAGGAGGTGATCCTGCCCCTCTACTCTGCTCTCGTGAGACCTCACTTGGAGTATTGTGTGCAGTTCTGGTGTCCTCAACATAAAAAGAACATGGAACTGTTGGAACAAGTCCAGAGGAGGCCACGAGGATGATCAGGGGACTGGAGCACCTCCCATATGAAGACAGGCTGAGAAAGCTGGGGCTGTTCAGCCTGGAGAAGTGAAGGCTGAGGGGAGACCTCATAGCAGCCTTCCAGTATCTGAAGGGGCCTACAGGGATGCTGGTGAGGGACGCTTCATTAGGGACTGTAGTGATAGGACAAGGGGTAACGGGTTAAAACTTAAACAGGGGGAGTTTAGATTGGCTATAAGGAGGAAATTCTTTCCTGTTAGGGTGGTGAGGCACTGTAATAGGTTGCCCAGGGAAGTTGTGAATGCTCCATCCCTGGCAGTGTTCAAGGCCAGGTTGGATGAGGCCTTGGGTGACATGGTTTAGTGTGAGGTGTTCCTGCCCGTGGCAGGGGGCCTGGAACTTGATGATCTTAAGGTCCTTTCCAACCCTAACTATTCTATGATTCTATGAACTAGTGTTTACACATACTGTTTTTGCAGACATTTTCTCCTGTTTCTGTTGTGCAGCACTCTATTTTTTTGGAAACATCTTTACAAAATACAAATAATTGTTAGAACAGTAGTTTATTTCACACCTTCTTAAGCAAACTTACTAGCATTTTTCACACATTTTACTCAGGTTAAAAAGGAAAAAAATAATCCTACGAGTCCAAACCATTAGCTGCACACCTTTTATGCGCAGTTGAGTAGCAGAAGAAATCAACTTGTAAATTAACAAATTGTAAGTAGAGAGATATGGGAGGACAAATTATGTCTTAAGTATCTACACCTTCAATGAGTGCAGCTCATCTGAAACTTACATTATGAGTTACCCCCTTCTCCCGACATCTGGTAATGCAGTTAGCATAACTAATATTATTTTACAGGGCAAGCAGCCATTCTCTGAGACTGACCATGTAATGTATTCATTCCTTCTCCCCTCATTATCAGGCCCTGAAGGTCCTGTGCACGAAGCAGACAAAGGAAACAGATTTCTCCTTCCCCTTCCTACCAGCCTTGGTTCCTGGGCACGAGGCCAATTATTTCCATCCTTACTGTGCCTGAAGGTCCCAGGCACCCAGACAGCCTGGTGGTGTTGATTACCCTGACACAGAACAAGGATGGTAACAGCACCAGAGCACTGTCTGTAAAATCAAACACAAGTCCTAACAGGGAAAATGGACCAGAACTGCTGCTGGACAGGGAGTGAGACTAGGACCTGCCCAGGACACTTCCATTGTGTCTTCTGCTTCCTCCAAGGACTGAGTATTCTTTAATATAATTCAAGTCTAGGTTATGACTGTTATATTGATATAGCAATCCATGTATTAAGATCTGACATGACCCTCAGAGGATCCAGATGATCAGAAATTTTAAAGTTAAGTTGTATTAGAAATTCTGTATTACATTGCTTAAAGATTGTACTTCATTGACTCTGCTTGGAGAAATTCTGTGCTACTCTAATCATGACTTCCTATTAGGAAAATAAAGCTTTAATTGTAACTATTGTTTAGTGCCATCCTCATTCTGCCACGGAACCCTAAAAGAAATCGACTGTTCCCTCAGTCTCTGGTAACTGCATAAAAAGAGAATAACTTCCTTACCGTTCTCTGTAGTGCCTTCTCTGTTAAAAAAGAATCTTCTCCTATTTTCAGGCCAGTTCAGTCTTTCTTCCAAGTGCTCTGTTATGTTCAGGTAGGCTTCATCTAGGCCCATAGGCATAAAATTGGGATCATATTCAGCCAGTATTTCTCTAACCTTTATAAACACAGAGTGGAAGTCCAATTAAACAAGCCCCTCAGCCAACCAACCAAAAAACCATTGCAAACCCCCACACTTAAGTCTTAAATTATATTCAAACTGAAATTATAGCCAATGTTTTAAAGCACTGGTTAATGCTGCAGGTTAGAAAAATCTTCAGTAGATAATGTGTTTTCCCAGAAGACAATATAAATTAAATGGTCAAAATAAAGTATCTACCTTTTCTCCTCTCCCCACCCTGTTTTTTTTTTGGGTTTTTTTTTCCAAAAACGGGGGGACAATTTGACTGTGTAATGTTTTCTCTGTTAACTTTAGTCAAACATGCGCTTTATCTTTCTGAAACTGACTGAAGATAGGATTCACTGATCAACTTTTAAAGACAAAATGAAATAAATTTAAATATTTTCAATGCAAATCCTAAGAGAAAAACATAACAACCAAATCAATCTCAACATTTAATATATTACCCCATCAAACAAAATTGAAATACATATCGTGAAATCTGAGCTCCTTAACAAGTTAAAGTGCATTCTGAAATACTTGTATCTATATATGCCTTATTAAAATAGAAGTGAGAAAAATCAAATAGGATCAAAATTAGTAATTACCTTCATTTATGTAAACAGATTGAGGCTTCATAAGAATAAATAAATATTGGCATGTTACTGAAATCAGGAGGCTTGTGCCACGCATTAGCTTGATTTCAGGTTTACAGATTTTCTTCTTGTTAGCAGGATTTCAGGTAATCCTATGTATTTCTCCTGGCACTAAGTAAAATTAGTTCCATTAAAGCAAATTATTTATTTTCTCCTTAATTTTTTGCTGTTTGTTTCAAGTCCCTTCTTTTGAAACAAATGAATCTGCATTCAGAACTCACTAAAGCTCTTTGGTTCTCTCTCCAGTAATCAGCATTCAAAATAATGATCATGCATTGTATGAAATTATTATCTCAATTTTTCCTATGTGCTTTCCCAGTAATTAGACTATGCTCCATGGTTTTGAAGTTTTAAGAATAGTAAGGCTCAAGTGGTATCACTAGCTTACTACACAGTTCTTCAAATCTCTATGAGCATCAGTAATGATGCTCATAGATATTTGCATGCTTTTAATGAAGCATAACTTAAATCAAATAGCAAGATGGGTGAATGCAATGCTTTTCACCTCCTTTCTTTGTTTTGTTTTCAAAGCCACATCACTGAAGAGTTTAATATTTAAACTACTACTTTTCGTATTACCTAAAAGTTACGTACTGATAGACTCTAAAACCAAGTTCACAGTATCACAGTATGCTAGAGACTGGAAGGGACCTCAAAAGATCAAGTTCATTGACTTTTGGTTAGAGAGAACTTTTAGACTTACCTCTTTACTCACTTTGCTGTATTTTCCAAAGTTTAATGGTACTATAGTTAGATGCGGACATAGCCTTTTAGCAATAAATCCAGGCATGGCTGCACGTACACCAAATCTCCTAGCATGGTAATTTGAAGTAGACTTTGGAGAGATTAAACAAGTTTAGTGCTCAGTAATCAGGTTTTTCTTAAAGTTCAGTGTTAAATAATCAAATTGTATTATATATCTCCACAAAGAAAAAACTTGAAACACTGAGAATTTATATGCACCTCCTCCTACCATTCTTCAATCTGTTTACATCCATTACACTTTCGTCAGTACACTTTTTACCGAAAAATAAAATCCATCTTACATGGTCTAGTCTCAGAACCAATGTTCCCTCTATTATTTTTGTTAGTTTTCCACACAAATTTTTTCTATGTAACAGTGTCATATTGCATTATGATTGTATAATTTATTAGGCTTTAGATTCACGTAATTGATTTCTATATCAGCTTCACATTTGGCCATACCAACATACTCATTGATCCCACAGCTATAGGCTTTTCCTTCAGCTCTGGTTTGTCTCTCATCTCCACAGCTGCATAGAAGGCATCCATGTCAATGTGTACAATCGTATTGCTAAGGTTACGGCTCTGTTCCAGTTCTACCACAAGTTTGTCCACCTGAACAGAATAAAACAGTAATTGAAAAACAATCAGCCTGGCAGAAATGCAGTAGTACAGATGATCCTAGAAAATCAAATGCATCTGGCATGTAGTTAAAAAAACAAAACAAATGAGCAAACCTCACCAAATCAGCACCACCGAAAAGACCCATCCTCAACCAAGTTTCTGATAAAGCTTGCTCTCAGAACACTGCTGTTGCTGCAGCAAATGGTACAAAAAAACCCCAAAGTCCAAACCAAATGAAAAAAAACCCAACTAACTCAACAAACAGCAAAACCACACCTATGGAGGGGGAGAAAGGGTATATCACCTGACTAAGAAAGAAACTTTGTAAGACCACTGAATATGCAGCTTTTGCTACAGGATACAGGTTATTAAAAAAAAAAAAAGAAAAGAAAAAAAAAGAAAAAAAAAACCCCAAACACGCTTTCATGCTTTTCGAGAATTTCCAGTGCTCCTAAACCAAGCTACTACAGTTCAAAAAACCGGCCTAGACAGGCTAAGAGGAGGTCAACAGCTCACAGGGAATCTTGTCAGAAAAATAAGGTCTCAAACAAACAGGTTCATTTACTGCTAAGTAAACTAATCTTAATCCCTTTATAAAAATTCCTCAACATTTGTTACAGGAATCCATATCATACAAGGCTGGATTGCTAGGAAAAAATGCAAGATGAGTTTTCAAGGAAACCCCATGCATAAGGAGCACATTTCACTTGGAGTTAAACATGTATTGTCTGCTAGTAGGCAGTGAGCAATACTGCTGCTGCATTAGTTCCATGATGCTGTGAGGCAGAAGTCAAGCACACGGACATCTCCATGAACTACTTTAATTGGGCTTAATTTGCTTACATTCTTTTGCAAAAAGACTTGCAGATCATGTTTCTGAAATATCCTTCAAATGTGAATGAGTTATGAACTGTGTGACCAGAAAGTGTGAACGCATTATTTGGCAGGCAATTTTTGAAGTCCACTTATTTAAGAATTTAAGATGTCTGTGTTGGCAGTACTGCACAACATTCTGTAAGTGAAAGAGATAATTCAACAAATAGAAAAAAAAAGGAAAAAAAAAAAGAAAAAAAGAGGGAAAAAAAGGGGAAAAAAAAAAGGAAGAAAAAAAAGAGAAGCCCCCCCTCCCCCACCAAAGAGGCATAATAGAGCTCAAGAAATTTCAGTACTCTTTGTTCACAAGTACAAGGACACACACACATTAATGACATCAAGATACAATTACAGAAATGTCTCTGGATTGATCACAGTGGGTTTATGGTCCTGAAGAGGGACGTTTATGTGTAACTTGCATGGTTACTTGAAGACATTTTCTGTCTTTCTCCCCTCAACAGAGCTGATTAATAAAACCCACAAAACCCTTATCCAAAAACCCATGTTTAGACTCTTGAACCAAGGCAAATCGGTATGAATGTTCAAACTAAATCACCGAGTTACAATTTATGAATATTCTCTCTGTTTTGTTCCAAGTTGATTTGAGGGATGAAAGGCTAGAATGGGGCCTCAAACTAAGCTATTCCATGAAGAAGAACACAGTATGCTCCCTGAGGCCAAGAAAATTGGTTTAGACAAATTAAAAACACACGGGGAAAGCCATGCAAACAACAACAACAAAAACTGGGTAATTTACATCCTTTTAATTATGCTATTAATTCAGTAGGAGTCCAAGTCATACAGTAATAATGAAAAACATCCTTATTTTAAAATATACAGATAATTTTCAGGTTATTTTGAAACTCAAATTGCTTAACTAATTCTGTCAATTGCTTCTCTAGTTACATAACTTCTGCATTTCAACTGATCAAATTAAGAACAAACTTTTTTGCCTTTTCTCCCCAAATGTATCATCATACTTACTGATCAGTTAATGCACCTGAAGAATGAAGTAAAATTACGTAAACTATTCAGAAATACAAAAAGATAACTCTTCGGCAAAAGCAACTGATACAACAAGTTATATAGGCAAACAAAACATACCCAGACATACTCAGCAAATTTCAGGCACCTACAGATGTTTCCTTAGTAAGATTAGTCACAGAGTAATTTCTTAGAAGAAAGCTAGGCTGACAAGTTTTTAAAAGCTGCTCCCAATTTTTCCTTAAAGACAGAAAGAGATACTGAGACTTATCATTTCCTAGCCAGATGAAAAAAAAAACACCTAAAAAATACAAATTGTAACTTAATTCTGCTTCTAGTGACTTTCAAATGATCTAAAGAATAACCTCTTACTTTTTTTTTTATCTCATGATGCAAAATACAAGTTTTCTATCTTAAATTGCTTTGCCAAAGTAAGACAGAAAAGATCATACAATTTTTTTTTTGTATTTGTAAGAGCATCTGACAAGGTGAAGAGATAACAGTGATATAATTTTAAGTTAATAGTAACTACTTACAGAATAAACATCTGGGAAAAATCCACATGGATAAAAATAGCAAACATTGGTTCACAAATCTGGTAGCAGCTGGATACTTTTTAAAGCATTATTAACTACTGCTGAATTTCAAGCAATTCCACTCTGGACTACTGGAATAATCTAACTCTGTTACAGAAAACTTTTCCAAAATTAAGAATCACATGATCATGTACAGTATATCATTTCTCTTAAAATATAACAATGACATTCATTAGAAAAACTTCAAGCTACCTTTCAAATTTAAGATTATTTTAAAAACTCCAGCAAACAATCAAAAAAATCCCAAAGAAATATCTGTATGCATAAATGGCAGTTTTAAGAAGCTACATAAGCACTTTCTACTGTGCCAATATTTGCAAAAATCAATGGTGGTTAAGTGCTCTTCTTCAAAGAAGGCCTTCTAAAATAACCTGCTAAAAATGAAAAAGATCCTCACAAATTTCCTGGCGTATGTACATTCCAGCAGTGGTTTACCTTGCAGATTCTGCATTCTATTTATGTTACTGTTTCCACCATGAAACCAGCATTTTGCCCAATAAATCCAGTAAGCAGGGATCTTTTTGTTTATTTTTACATCAAGGGATCATTAGGACTGGAGGGGCCTCTGGAGATCATCTCGTCCAACCCTGCTGCCATGGCAGGGCCACCTAGAGCAGGTTACACAGGAATGCATCCAGGCGGGTTTTGAATGCCACCAGAGTGGGAGGCTCCACAACCTCCCTGGGCAGCCTGTTCCAGTACTCTGCCACACTCAGTGTAAAGTTCTTCCTCACAGAATCAAAGAATAGTTTGGGTTGGAAGGGACTTCCAAAGCTCATATAGTCCAATCCCCCTGCAATGAGCAGGGACAACCTGAACTAGATCAGGTTGCCCAGAACCACATCTGGCATGGTCTTAAGTATCTCCAGGGATATCACCACCTCTCTGGATAGCCTGTGCCAGTATTTTACTACCCTCATCATAAAGATTTTTTTCCTTGCACACAGCCTGAATCTCCTCTCTTTCAGTTTAAAACCATCACCCCTCATCCTCTTGCAACAGGCCCTGCTAAGAAGCCTCTCCCCATTTGGTTTTAATTTATGGCCATTGCTCCTTGTCCTGTCACTGAAGAGTCTGGCACCATCCTCCTGGCACCCACCTTTGAGATACTTACATGCATTAAATAGATGCCCTCTCAGTCTTCTCTTCTTCAGACTAAACAGGGCCAGCTCCTACAGTCTCTCCTCGTAACAGCCCTGATCATCTTTGTGGCCTCTGCTGGACCCTCTCCAGTAGCTCCTTGTCTTTCTTGTGCTGAGGAGCCCAGAACTACACACAGGACTCCAGATGTGGCCTCACTAGGGTCGAATAGAGGGACAGGATCACTTCCCTCAACCTGCTGGCTACACTCCTCCCAGTGCACCCCAGGTTACTGTTGGCCTTGCTGGCTGCAAGGGCACACTGCCAGCTGATAGTCAATTTATCATCTACCAATACTGCCAGGTCCCTTTCAGCCCAACTGCTCTCCAGTAGGTCAGCACCCAATCTGTACTGGTACTGACTCTTCTTTCTCTCCAGGTGCAGTGCCCTACACTTGCCCTTGTTGAACCTCGTTAGGTTTCTCTCCACCCAATTCTCCAGCCTATCAAGGTCCTGCTGAATGGCAGCATAGCCTTCATGTGTAGTAGCCACTCCCCCCAGCTTCATATCGTCAGCAAATCTTCAGCTTCTTCAAAGACCAACTTAGAGGAATCCCATGGCAGTGTGAATACCTCATACTAAAAATTTTAAGAAAACAAATTCTCTCATGGTATATCAGAAGGCAGAAATGAAAACAAGTTAACTCAGTAGACAAAATTAAACAAGAACAAAAGATAATGAGACCTGACTATATATCCAAAGACCTAGAGAAGCTGATTAAACAACACACAGCACATACTAAAAAAAAAAACAAGGCACACAAGACTTGCAGAATTAAAGGTGGAGATAATGACTTGGGAAAGAGTAGCTGGCAGGTGACAGGAAAAGGGAGAGGCATTCTGGATATCAGCCATAGACAGATAGACTGCTGGGCCAGGAGACTGGGGACTTCAGTGGGGACTCTGGGGGCACAATGATTGCTCTGGAAAGAGGACTGATGGAATCTGGGGATGTGGGACAAGACGACGAAAATCAAGGGTAGGACAAATTAAAAGAAAGGCACAGAGAGAGAGCAAAAGGGTCAGAACTTGCAATGAATAAATGAGGGCAACAGCAATCATGAACAAGAAGGATGCAACAGGAAGTTATCTTTTTCATGATTAAATGACTTAAAATCCACCCTAAAATAAAACAAAAAAAAAAACAACCCACAAACCCCCCCCCCCCAAACCCCAAACAAAAACAAACCCCAACCAAACAACAACCACAAAAAAAGCCCAAACCAACGAAAATCGAACAACAAACAAAACAATACTGAACAAGCAGAGACATAACTGATCCATGTTAATTTATTAACTAAAACAAGTTGAGGCATATATGCTTATAACCAACTTCCCAACTTGAAGCTTTCCTAAGCACAAATTTGATATACTGACATAATTTACAGAAGTAATTTGCAAATCTGCAATGAATGAAGAAAGATTGTACACCAAAACTCAGGACTTATAATCCTCACAAGAGCATTCAAAATTAATGGATGCGTTTAAATCTTCATGTGCTTCAGCTCCTCATCTACAAAACAAACTACACTGCTGGAGTACTGCAGTACTTTAAAGAATTCACACTGTGTGGTGTACAACATAGAGAAGGGTATGAGGAAGTTAGTAATTCTGCATTCAAGGCTGTGTTAGACTAGCATACAACAAATAAAGCTTAGGGCCACCTACTGAACAACGAAGACAACAGTAAATATTGAATAATTGCCCACTCAGCGCACACTGTATGCACTGTGTAGTGAATGAAGCAGGAAGCCTGTTAGGGAAAACCAGCAAGCAATCATGTAATTAAAGACTGAATCAGAGTACAAATGGAAAGAAATTAAGCTTCTACAAGCAACTTTAATTCTGTTGTGTCTAAGAATGTTTAGCATGCAGTCTTGGTGCCATTGTTTTCTCTCAACCACCTTTCATACACAGCAACGCTTTGGATGCTGTTATTTGGCTTTAGCATTTGAGAAGATAAACACCCTCTTATCCTTCTAGTTCAGGACACTTGTATTTCTTGTGACTGCTTGCCATGATGATTTTTTCATTAATTAGCATAAGTAAGAAATAAATTATATCCAGAAGAGTTGACAACTGTGATTCCCTTTCTCCCACTGCATGCCACTGAACACAAATATACGTATATTATACAAACTGAAAGTAAACTCAAGACTGGCATTAATAAGGTATTTAACAAAATGTTTACATAAACTGTGACAGCCCTATAAATAGAACAGACTTAGAAAAACAGGAATTACTTTGTTTTACTTATTCAGAGCACATTTCAGAATGATTTTACAATTTATTCTTGTAGCAAGTTTTTATTAAGATTACATCATGAAAATATTGTGCAGTTTTACTTCTGCGACTAACATCAAAATGGCAGTTAACACTGTACTTATTAACAGAATTTAATGCAATATAGTAGAACACACCAAAGTGTTTCTCATTCACCTTTTACTCCAAAAAGTTTTTATAAGATTAATTAGTACCTGCAGCTGTGCTTTCAAGAGCTGTTGTGTTGTAATTTTCTCTTTTAGCTGCATCATTTTTTCAATCCGTTGGTTAACTTGTTTATCTTTTTTAAGTTCATTTTCATAAAATCTAGAACCCTGGAAGAAAATTGCAAAAAAACTATGGTTTTTGTCTTTTCCTATGAATAACCACATCTGATCCTCAAATACAGAAAACATCAAACACAGTAAGGGTTTCTAATGCATACTTTGTATTTTCATGTAAATGATGCACAAGAGACACCAGTGGTGCTTTACATCTCCCTCCTCAAAAGACACGGATGTATTTCTCCTTCTCAGACACCCTATGCTCAGATGAGTACAAGAGACTATTTAGAGAACTTACTATGTTTATTGATTCTAACACTTGACCACAAAAATCTGAAATAGTCGCTAAAAGTCAAAGTATTCTTTGTAATACCTCCAAAATGAGTAAAAAAAGTAAAAATAAAAAAAAAAAAAGCATTTTGCCAGACTTCTGTATACTTTAACACACACAGAAATAAATAATGACATTGTAAAAGACAAATCCAATTATAACATTGAGTGTTTCATTGGCCATTTAAACTTGAAGGATACTGCAGAATTAGAAGCTATTTGGAAGACAGCGATGAAAAGCAAATGAGTACAAAAAAGCCCTCTCACTCTCAAGTATGTAATTACTCCTTCAAGAAAAGGAATGAAGAAAAGGAGATGTAATAAAAACATAAAAAGACAACAATCATGCAAAGACTGTATACGATTTCCTTCCTAACAAAGAAAAGAGGGCATACGATGAAATAGAAAAGAGGAAATAAAAGAGGAAAATAAAAACCAGGAAATAAAATATTTTTCTAACAATATCTAGTTAGCTTACAAGAGAAATAACATTTTCAGGAATAAGTAATGTCTTTTATTGAACTGTCTGAAATGTTGTTTATAAAAATCTGCAAAAGTGCCCAAATTTTTAGCTCTAAGCCTTTGGCTATCAAACCGTTGCAATGACAAGAATTCAGGCATAGTCAAATAAGAATCAGGCATAAATATAAAAAGCAACAATATCCACTTTTAAAATAATGATAACAAGGATGAATAGCAAGACTGTAACGAGTCATGTCTCTCTGCTTAGAAGTCTCTAATTGTAACAAACTATTGTATGTTTTCTTTCAATATCAGGCATGCATTTCACCTTCCCTCAAATGTGACTTATCAAGGCTGACTGAAAGAAGTCAGTACCAAACTATTGGTGTGTGAATCAGCCCAATACTTAAGACTCTCATTAAGCTTTGGGGTTCTTTAAATTTCTTGCAGTATATTACAGTTAAAAAGCTATAAAATCTTGCAGTAATACAATTATGGGTAGTGTTTGTAGGTGTAATTTTGAAGACTAAAGAAAAGGTTAAGAAAAAGAATCAACACTTCTTTTCAGATTTCTTGAGCTACATCTGTTATATTCTTTTGCCTTTTTTCACAGAAATGTATTTCTGACACATAGATAGATGCCTGTGTATCAGTTTTGAAAGCCTATTTTATAATTCATTCTATTACACAACAGGAAATGAAACAGTAGCTGTTCTGACAAAACGATTTATCCAAATATCGTTATTAGGGATATGTCTGACAAAGCACTGTATTTTCAAGAAAAAGCAAACAGAATATGTAAAAGAAACATCTGATCAACAAGGGGCTCAACAGCATATGAAGTATCAAAGTGAAAATGCAAGTAGAAAATAAAGGCTGCCAAATAAAAGCTCTTTATAGTATGTTTTCTGCTCCCTGCACCCCCCCAACTTACCACACAGCAACAGCAGTTAACACAGAATTCATGAGCAAAACATCAACCAGATAGCCCAGAGCCTAAGCAGCAGCAAGTGGAATATACACTTGTGGAAGGAAAAGTAAAAAAAACCCAGAGATGCTCAAATAAAGTAAAGACTCTCCAAGAACAAGAGGACTAATATTCCAGTGCTTTGTGGGGGCCTCTGTGGATCTTTTGGTACAAAGTTGCACACCACTGGCCACCTCTCTTGAATACTGAGAGGACAGTCAAGAAGAGAGGTAGTGAACACAAAGAAATTCTACTGAAGGGACGTGAAAAACCTGACCATATCAAATTTAGAAGTTATAGGAAGGTGACCAATAAAGGTATATCTGCTTGACTGATTAATGATGGGACAGGCAAAAGGGACAATACTGTGATATTTATGCACTACTTCGGGCAAAAGGGGAGTATTTGAAGACGTATTCAGTTGTGTTCCTTCATGTCCCAGTGAATGAATCCTTATGGTAGTTCTATAGTCTTTCTCCTACTTCCCCACACGTGCATTTCCTCTTAGGAGATGCCCTCCATTTACTCCATGTGGGGGATAACATTTGAAGAAGGGAGGAAGAGGACCGTATGATACTGGACAATGGATAAAGCAGCAGGAAAAGAGTAAGCAAACCAACCTTAGTAGCTTCCATGATAATTTTATTGATTTTCTCTTTATCCAAACCTTGCATTCCAGCTTTGTTATCATTGAGGCCCATTCTGAGTAGAACTCCATCATTGCAAGAGCTATTGCAAGCTTTTTTTGTGTCACTCATCGTACTTCTTGAAAACAAGTACCTCTTTTAAGACTTAACACCTGGAGGGGGAGGGAGGAAGAACAAAAAAATAAATAAAAATAATGAAATCATACATTTGTTTCCAAGTTCCAGTTGAACAATAGGAAAAAAAAAACCCTTATGGAATGAATTTGTAATATTTATTGAATAAGTATTTTATCCATTTTCAGACAGTAACATCACAAAGACCTGTATTCCTGTAAAGTGGTTGACCTGTTACTGTCACTATATAAAGCCACCTGTAACTCTTGTCAGTGTTTGCACAGAGTAAAACTTTATTTTTTTATATTAAGCTAGAAATACACTTTTTTAAAAGCTCCCTTACAGAAATAAATGAGCACCATCTTCTTCTGGAAAAAGCCAGTACCTACACATGCACATGAGAGTTATGGCTGTATATTACCGTGCATGATGAAACAATACTGTCTTAAACATGAAATACTGCTCACTAGATTATTACATTAAAAGAAACTGAATTATTCTTAAACTGCAGAAGGCCATTGTTCATTCAGTCCCCATTCCTGCTTGATACAGGCCGTAGTCTCTTTCCCACTAATTTCTATCTCAAATTCAAAACTTCGACACTAAAAATCTCATCTTTTAGAAACAGACGGCTTCAATTACAAGTTTTGAATGAAATACTATTGTTTAATCCAGTGTAAGATTAATGCATTCTTTTTTCCATTAATGGTATCCAACTAACATAACTTACCAAGCCCCTATTACTCAATTACTGTCATCAGTAAGTTCTTACAAGTGCAGGTACTTATGATATGGGAACTTCTAACATATTTCCTTGTTGCTTATGAAAATCAATAGCTAAATCCTTTGATAGACTTTAATTATATGGTAAACTGTCTAGTTACTAAATTGATTAAAATAAAAAACAAAACCCAAATCCCTAAATTAAGCTAACTTTACCCTTTATGGCATGAACCTGTAGTCTTATTTTTGCCAGATTAAAACAAGCAGAAAATGTGATACTGGCACAGATTACTTAACATGTATTTGTTACTGGGAAAGCATATAGAAAGAATTTCTTCCTATCCCAAGTTGCTGACTCATAAACCATTTCAGCTTTACTGGCATGCAGGAAGCACATTCACCCCTAAACTTTCCCTTCAAGCTACTGCCTTTGACAGGAGCACTCCCTGTTGGAAGAGCCACAGCCTTCCAAGTACACACAGCAGCTTTATTAATTAACCACAAATTACACAAACCTGAGAGTGTAACATTTTTTTCTTTAAATGCCACTTTCCAACTCCAGGACTTAACTGGGCCTCATTAGCAACCAAACTGGAGGTCAGTATCTATTTTTGCATTTAGAGATGATTTTTGCTATTGAAAAACTACATGGGTGACTTTTTAAAAATAATGGCAATTATATTTTCCTGAAGATCTCCTGAAACATACTACCCAACTGAAGTCAAGATATTAAAGAAACCCATCTTTAAAAAACATTCTAACAAAAATATCCCAACTTTAAATATATTCTATTAATTCAGATTATTTATGATGACTTCTGAAGATGCAAGATCCCTTGTGTTTATCTCCAGCTTGTATTTCAAAGAACAGAACGTGATGTAAAGACCAGAACTCCTCTTGACCCTTTAGCAGCACTTAAGCTCCTATAATGGCAATTAGAAAAGGGAATGGCTTCATAGCTTTTACATGTACCTATAAAGTAAAGCCATGATGACAAATATTTTCATGATTTTTTCACTTACAGTAAGAGAATCTCGTACAGTTAACATACACATTTACCATAACTTGAATCAAATGAAGCAGCACTGCATCCCAAGTTTCATCTCAAGCTTGTAAGCACCCCCATATCAATAAGTCCACAATAATTCCATTGTTACTGGCAGCCTCTGGTAAATAACGGGCACAATTCCCAATAAATACTTTACTCAGGGTAAATGCCCCTGCACCATCTCCCTAGTTCTTTCATCACTCTTTCCCTTCAAGAAGCTTGAATGAACACAAGACTGCTTCTATTTCCTATTCCAATGTTCACAACATTTTTTAGGCACATCCTGAGTGTGTCCTTATCTCTAGCGTACACAAATCTTTCCCCCTTATTCAGTTCATTCTTAAAGGCTCAGTTTCATAGAAGAGGCTTTAAACACTATTTCATGTCAGTCAAAAACCTTCCCTATCACACTGTTACACACTGAGCAAGAAAAAAATTTACCATGATGATACCAGTGATGGGAAAAAAAAAATTGTTTCTAAAAACTCTCACAAATGGTGGTCTCCTAATGGAATTTATCTTTCCAGCTTCCTTTGTGGAACAAAATATGTTGCTAGTACCAGCTGATAAAGTGTGTATCACTGTCAGATAAAACCAGTGGATCATCTGCCATACACAAAATGGCAATGGAAATATTCAAAAGAAATTAAGTAGAAGCACAGGTTTGAAACACAATGCAAAAGGTGAACCAAAATGTCAGTGTAGAAACTAGTAAGGACTTAAAGTAGTACCATTTTAATGGAAAACAGACCTAGAGAAAACACTTATCTTGTGGCGACACAATGTTACAAAATTTTTGCTGTAACAACTTGGAAAAAGTGGGTAAAGCTTTATAGTCTAATGAAGCACTAACTCAGAACAGTCCAGACAAAAAGTGACACATTTTTGGCATGCAGTCATCTCAAGAAGATGCTGTAAGATGAGCTGTTTCCTCTAACAGAACATGTTACATCTCTCTCAGCATGACACTGAGTAAGTATGGTGTGAAATGAGAGAAGTCTGTGAAGTCAGGCTACAATTAAATACTAACCTATTATTTTTCTGACTTGGGAACGGGGGGAGGGTAGCAGGTAGCATTCTTGTCTATAAGTGGAGGAGGTAACTTTCAAGTTGCTACTGGAAGGACTTCTAAAATTAAAGACAAAGACTTTGGCAGTGGATACCAACAGTTAAAGCAAAGCAAAAACGTGGAACAGAAACACAGAATAACATTACTGGGTAGGAAGCTTTGTTACATGGAAAGCTCATAAACTCTTACTGTAAGTGAATGAAAATACTCCTGTGCAGAAATGAAAATCACATGTACAAAAACCATACCTCACAATTAATCATGAAATAATTTATCTATTTCATTATTTTTTACCAAGCATTGAGAAATACTTCAAGAATAAAGGACTGAAGACTGAACAAACAAGCCAAGCAGACTGTTCCAAAAGTAACTCTCAATCCCAACTTTTCAAATATTTCCCTTGTGCTGGAAATTATTAGAACTGGAAAGCACATCACAGGCTACCTAGAACCAAAGCCTCTGGGTACAACTGAAACAGTAAGTAATAAATACAAGAGACCATATGAGATCTTCCTAAAAAGGCCACAATTCATCTAAATCTACATTTTAATGAACACCACTTTGGTTTTACTCCCAATTGCTGATTGAACTGGCGGCCACGTAGCTACACTTCTTACTCCACTCACTGCACAGACGTATCTTCATGTAGGCCATGCATGCAACTCAGAAGAGTCACCACTGTGAAAGATCTAAAACCTAGCTAACACACTTTAGTATAACAATTCATGTACCAATAGTCAGGCCATTTGATCCATGCATTTTCCACAAATGCACTGCTTTATTTCTTGATTTTTTTAAAAAAGAAAATCATATATTCAACAAACTAGGAAAATTCAACTCAGCTAGAATATTTTTAACACTTCTGATATTTAAAAGGTTACAGTACAAACTGCAGTAGTGCACTTAATTTCATGCTACTTAATTTATCCATTACTTGGATAATGCTTTATCACAAAAGAGTAACATCACATACTTTCTGAGAGGAAGTGCACCTGTCTTTTCTGAATGTTAATTTGGCAAGGGAACATTCTGGTTGACAGGATCAGATTTAACAAACTCCTTAAGTCTTATTTCCTTGTAAAAACATGCTCTTCCGATAATGATTTATGTATATCAGCTGCTCTCAAGTCTCTCCTTCTCACCAGCATAAACTACCAACAAAGACAAACGTGTAAGCAAGCACCTCAGATAGTCCTTCTGAACTACCTGCTCGATTCTTTTCAGCTACAGGGTTTCCAAATAGTGCAGAGAAGAGGACTCCTGTCAGTTTTAATTCTGTACTGATTTACAAGAAAATAAACTGGCAAGAGGAACTGCATGTTACTAGCATCTACTACTCACAGTGTTAACCACCTAGGCTGCCTACTAGTGCATTCAAAACTGCTACTGTTTCACTATTCTATCTCTCAATATAAAATGTAGCTCCCTAGAAAACAGAATCTTCTAAGAAACTTCTGTTTTAACAAATGTAGTAAACCAAGGTACACAATAAATTAATACTGAATGGAAAACAGGGTGAGGATTAACAGAAGCAAAAGTTTCAAGTCCAAGCTGACACAGCCCAATACGACTGTTTTTCAAGCAGCAGCTGACTCAGGTTTTTACAAAAACACAGATCCCACACAAGTACCTAGAATTAGCCTTCAAAAAAACACAACCCTAGAATGAAGTCTTTTCTGACCTCATTGGCTTTCAGATACAACAAATTACAGACAATTCAATCCTTTTAAAAAGTAATTCATACTGCAAAGTGAACCGATAATAGAGACTGCTTGACATAGTTCATCAAAATATGTATTTTACACCGTTCAAACTGAATAATTCTTTGCTTATGTGAAAAGCAACCCAAGTGAAAGAAGTAGCCATTATCAATTTTCTGTAGGCAAGAGGCAGCACAATTCTGCTCCAAATCCTGCTTTCAGCTTCTGTCTAAAATGTCTTTGTCTTTTAAAACTTCAAAGTTAATCCAGAGGGGAAAGTACTCTGGTATCTTCTGTCTATATTCAGCATCTTACAAGAACTTTTAACCTGGAAGACCTATCTCAAGTTTCTAACCAAGTTTTCCTAGTAATTCCAGCTTACTGAAAACATGTTTTAGCAGCTTAATCCATGAATAAGGAGCTGAACAATTATTAACAACATTCATCAGTAAAAGCTGCAGCAGAAGTAGTGTAGTTATCTGCAACCTTATTTTTAAAGATATGTGCTTATTGCCAATGTATTAATAAGCAGTAGTAATATTCTGGTTTGGGATTTTCTTTGTCTTTTGGGTTTTGGGGGGGACTTTTTTTCTTTTCCTTTTTTTTTTTTTTTTTTACTTGGAAGAAAAACCCTAATACAGCAATTCTCAAAGACAATTTTTGCCTTTTGAAAGACAAAATCTGTGGGGAAAAAGTCTGAATGATTTGTATCTCAGAACTTATATTATTAGGCAATATGCTATGACATAAAAGAAAGCTCCTTCATTTTCTTAGGAAAAAGAGTCTGTAACCACAAACATATCCAGAAGCATGAACATACTAGAAAATGTGTTTTACTAACAGACAGTGAACACACTAAGCCAGAAGGTGCAATATTTGAAATAAGAAGTACAATACAGATGCTGAAAAAAATCAGGTATTTAACAAGCTACCTGCTTCATGATGCTTAAGACTGACATCTTTAGAACTACATACACACACAAAAAAAAAGCCACAACAAAAAACACCAAAAAAATCCCCATTTTTGTATTACAAGTAGTGTATCAGCAATACAGAACAACACTATCCGTTCTACTATTCTAACAAAATTGATGACTATTTTTATGCAGTAATTTGTAAACTTCTTGCAATCTCTAAGACACCAGAAGAAGCATGTATCAAGTAGAGGGGCTTGTGATAAAAGAACAAACACAGCAATGAAAAGAACTGGAACTAATCTAAGAGTCCTAGGCTGAAAACATGACAGCTTGTGGCTATGACTGTCACAGCCAAAACGATTTGTTCAGACATGTCTCTTCAAGTCCTGCTCTTGGTCAGTATAGAGAAGTTCATCAGAGTGTAATGCGGAAGACATGACCAGCTTTACAGGTGATACTCCTGAATTTTATCAACATACTGCAAAGAACTATGAATTATTCTTGTACGTATCAATATATACAAAACTGTCACTCTGCTTGCCTAACAAAAGCACCACGTTGCAACAGCCACTAAACAAGTATCTTGCTTGGTTTCCTTCCAAGCAGCTGGTTAATCAAAAAACATTTTTCAATAATTTTTCATAATTTTTTTCTAAACATAGCACCCACAACAGACTCACAGCCAACATTTTTCTGTGCATTCCAGTGATGACACAAATATTAAGACGTCTGTGATTATTCTTTATTTCTAACTGCTTAGGAAAAATGATGTTACTTCATCAGGCACTCTCCGTTTATTGCAAATATCTTTATACCAGAAACACTGAGCTGATGCTATTATCTAACTTTCAGCTGCTATATATAATGCACATAATAGCTGTGTCAATGTCAAAAGCTCTTTCAAAACCCATAATGAACCCTCAAGTGGAAATCGGCAAGCAGGATAACATTGGAAAATTACGCAAT